ATATTTATTTCTTTTTATTTCTCAAAAAGACACTACGGCCAGGTTGACCTTTTACGAGCATCTTAAATTAAAATCAACAAAAAAACTGGCGTCTAATTACAGAACGATTCCGAGTCGTGGTTCTGTTTTTTACCAAAAGATGTGGCTAATTCGTGACGTCGAGAAGCTGGACAAGCGTAATTCTTGGTGTAAATACAACACAGTCGGAATTAATTTATTACCAACAAAATTTGCTATTGTTCGTTTGTCGAACGTCAAATTTGTCTTTTGTCTAATGTTCAACGTTTATATTATAAGATGATTATCGTTCATTATTTTTATCAAAACATTTAAAATTATACAGTTTATTATAAAAGTTATTCTACAGAATATGCAGACTCGTTCTTAAATTCTTTTAATCTCAAGATTTTCCCGCTGAATTTTTAATCTCTTACTCGAAATTTGTTTTTTTTTGGTATTATTTAATAAAATTATTCATCGCTGTTTAGAAATAATTTAAACGCTTTATATTAGAAAATTTGCAATATTTTATTTTACAATTAACGTTTAACTTGGAAATGTTCCACAAAACCAAACGCCTTTTCTCCATAGGCATCCTTGTTTGGTTTTCACGAGATTTTAAAAAACCAAGAGTTAAATGTATCTCGCGTAATTTGAGTTAAGGTCTTTCGAATTGGTAGTTTAAATCCATGAAGAAATTATCATCGTCAGTAAAATATTAGCGAACTTTTTGTAGCCCGCGACGATTTATTTGAACATTAGCTTAAAAAATGCTATTCTTAAAAAAGACGTTTTCTTTACGAAAAGGATTTATTGAAAATTATACATTTGCAGCATTTTTATATACACAATCTGTTATTGAATGTCTTCTTTTTGTATGTACATTTCTGAATCGAGCGTAATCGCCATCCCGTGTTCAATAGCCGCGCCAGTAGAATTTATAAATTCCACGAATTTTTAGACAGTACCACGCGGTTAACTTTAGTCGGTTCTCGACTTATCTGTGGCTTTACATTCGTAGAAATCTATCAAATACGGTACATAATATTTTTATTTACGACTGAACGAGCTGTTAATATTCGCGAAAACAATTATTTTAAGATATATTAATTAAATACGGCATTTTTAAAATTTCGGAAAGAATTTACTTACCCTTCATAGTTTTGAATTGCGGCTTCTCAATTTCACGAGTAAATCCATGTACTGTACGGGTACAGTATTTTCTGCAAATGTTCGCGTAATCGAAGGAAAGTAGAAAATCCTTCGCAACGCCAAGTTTCGCGACAGAATATAGACCTTTCCTCCACCGACATTTACTTATGTTCTAAACCTACACGCTCGTTAGTAAGATTTCCTTTTGAGGAGAAGCGCTTATCGCGATAACAACCAATATTTTCTAATATCCGACGCGATATTTTCCATAAAGATTTCTTAGCCACGTAGCGGGAATACTTCAAAAGCAATTATCGATGATAAAGTATGGTCTTAAAGCTAAAATATCGCCAAAAATTCCAAGCACACCGTACAGTACGACGTTTACGCTGTACCTCACGACACTAACGGCATCTCGTGGTAAGAACCAGAACTACTACGGCTACGGAATCGTTCTGTAATTAGACGCCAGTAAAACAAAAACAGGACGCGAGCTGAGAAAGAATATAGTACAGGTAACCCCCGTATAAGACGGGAGTTACGTTCCAAAAAATTGCCGTGCTATGCGAATCCGTATTATACGAAACAAAGAACTAGTGCGAAAAGGGGGGTTAGGTTCCAAAAATTAAAAAACATGTTGTTAAAGCCTTATTTAAATCAAATTTATTATTCATTTTTTTTTCATAGGTAAAATACTTATTATTTAAGTAAACATTTTACCAGAGGATTATTCATTTTATATGATGATTTCGGCACGAGCATCATCAACTGGTAACAGTTTTTGGGTGCGTTCGTTAATAGCGGTCGCTTCGCACGGGAGTGCGCCGCTGTTTATAGGCATTTAGGAACGACGGTGAAAGAAAGGTGGCGGCGCCCTCACTATCGATAGTATCATGGAGGAATCTATAATTCTAAAATGAGCTTTTAGAGGCAAAAGAAGGGTGTCAATTGTATAATTTAACCATTAAATGGATTATTTGTTGAAAGATCATTTAAAGTAGCCACGAAAACAATTGGAATGCTCGCGCGGAGGTATAAAAGAACGCACCCTTCATTACATTTTATGTTGCACGAGGGTTTTACCCAATTTCCGAACCGTGTTAGAGTGAACCCGTGCTGTAGAAGTCCGTGTTATACGGGGGTTACCTGTATTATCATACTAATCTTTCAAAGGTCTGAGTTGTTAATAATGTGAAATATGTACGTCATCAGTTTAGTCTCTACAGGGGGGCGCCACAACGAGATCTCGCACCACCCGAAAACCTGGCTAGGGCCGTCACTGCACATAAATACTTGTATGTATATAGGCTGAACGATCACGATATTACGAACACTTAGGGTGTGACTACGCACACGCGAATTTAGTAGCGAGCGATATAGTTCTCCCAAAGAAAAACATGCACAAGCGAGAAATATTGCTGGCGAGAGCGAATTTCTGGTTCTCGCACGTATTTATCGCGTCTGCATTGTCGTAGCCTTACTTGACAACAGGTTGAACCACCTTTCTGGGCGATCGGGTCTTGCAAATGCCGGGACACGGACTCTACGAAATGCCAAGCATTCTCGATTCTTAATTGGATCCGCTCCAGAAGTTTTGTCAGTGGGTGCACATTTGGCGAAGAAGTCACAGCCTGGCCGCACGTTCCAGCCTATCCCGAACGCGCTCAATAGGGTTGCGAGCCTGAGTTTGGGGGCCAAGGCAATTCAGTGTGGTGTTTTCGACCGTTCCCGAGTCAGCTTTGCCCAATGACACGGCAAGTTCATCCGGAACGATTGCACTTTCTTCTTCTTCTTACATAATCTTTACTGTATTTCTTTCCCGACACCGCGAGGCACAGTCGGGTAAAGTACAGTGGCCTTTTGGCTTATAAATGGCAAGATTCCGAAATTAAGATAGAAACAGTTAGGTATAATGCCACGTTCTCGTGGCAAACACGCGACTTACAGAACCTGCGTCGTGAACCATATTAAGTCATGACCCAATAGGTACAGCAAATTTCACATCGCACGTGAACAGAAGACACAAAACAATCACCAGACGCATATCACAACATTGTGGCACAAAAAGCTGGTTACCGGATGCGTCCTTTCAAAATACCGCTTGATAAGATCTTTCAGTAGGAGGTGCACTATTGTTGTCGGGAAAGAACGGCCTGGAAATACGGGTGCAGACGATCACCCGACGAGTCCCTTCCAAGACTGTGGGACCACAACTAAAGGCCGAGAGAACGCTCTGCCAAACCGCCGCCACCAACTTGTGGAACTCCCAATTGTGCGACGGGGGATGCGGCTCGGTGCTTTTTATGACGGATTCGGACCTGGCCGTCACCATTCGACAACGGTCCGGTCCGTTTGTCAGCCTATTGTCGAATGAAATACGAAGTGGCTTATTTTTTAGTCTTTGTTATAATTAACTGTCGTCCTGGTAATTTATTTAAATTCTCTGTTAGATATTTCGTTACCCAGCCCATTGTACTCTAGAGCATTTCCGGCTTACATTATACATTGTTCCCGTCTAGATCGGACGACCGAAACGTTAACATTCACGAAAGGGTGAGGTCGAGCCGTCACACAAGCTTTGAGTTTTAAATCCGAGAAGGAATCGTTCCGGGATGTAAACGTAGACATTGACATTGTAAGCGACCCTAGCATACAATAGCAGATGTAAGAAAAGTCAGATATAATATAAAATTCTCCCAAAGATTTTGTTAGTTCTATTCAGCTTTGTATAATCTGATTATTAAAATTTATATTCCCGAAATTGACTAAGCAGCAATAATGCCGACTGACTACAATACATAAAGATAGAAAAAACAAAGTCTCGAAAACGACCCGGACAAATTCCAAAAATTTCGTGCACGTTTACGAACTTGTACGTAAGTTTCTCCGAAGGCCAATGCACCGAGGCAGCAAAATAAAGACATTGAACGTCATCTATCGGTTGTTAGAGTCGATCCCGTCCCGTTTTATTTTAGTTGGTGTTTATATTTATTTTGGAGTACAGGTAACCCCAGTATAACACGGCACTACTATAGCACGGATTCGCTCTAACACGGTTCGAGAATTGGTACCATCCCCCGTATAACACGGTACTTTTATAGCACGGATTCACTCTGACACGGTTCGAGAATTGGGTAAAACCCTCGTACAACAGGAAATGTAATAAATTTTTACATACTTAAGTAATAATAGTTCACGAAAATTATTATTTTCGTGAACTATTAGTACTTAAGTATGTAAATTTTCTCTTCTCGCCTTCTGTCGATACACGTGGTCCTTCTCGAAACTTGTTTCAATGTTGCCAGATCGCGACGCTTCTGCTTCTGATGTTGCCGAATGTTTTTCCCTTATTCCATACTTGCTTTATTCTTCATAAGTGCTTAGCACCATATAAGGAAATTTATAAAGACCTTTTAACTAGAAGCAAGCAATCTAAAATTACATACATTTTGCAAAAGGTAAAGCATGGATCTGAAGATAATGCAGAAAAATGCTCAGAGGATAAGGATAACTTGCCAAAAAGAAAACGCTCTCGGTTAATTAATAGTGTTTTTAGTGATGACGAAGAAAACATTGTTTAATTTATATTAATATGTATCACTTAAAAAAATTTTAATGAAGATATTTATCTTAATTATGAAAATATACTAGCATGTTTTTTTAATTTTTGGAACCTAACCCTCCTTTTCGTATTAGTTCTTTGTTTCGTATAACACGAATTCGCATAACACGGCAATTTTTTGGAACGTAACTACCGTGTTATACGGGGGTTACCTGTATTTTATTCCGATAAGGTTAGATACCGCATCTCACTCGGACAAAATTCTAAAACTAAAAACCAAACTCACCTTACTGCCACGATTGGCCGGGACCAATCGAATGCGTCGTCGACCCGGAAATGACATCTCGGGAACACTTCCGAAGAGAAGTTAAAAGAACCATCTCTCACCAAAATTGTCACCGAAAAGTTAAAAAATAATTATGCCAAGGTGATGACGCCACGTGGAAAGAAGATTGCAGGAGTTAAAGTATGTAAATAAGGTCGAGTGGGCGTATCGATGTAACGTCACCAACCCTGCATTACGAGATGAGCAGCGAATAAGTGGTGGCCAAGCGGTCTTCGTCCCCGAACACTGGAAGTTCGGTCATGAGTTCGCGCCTCGCTCGAACTCATAACCGAAGTGGCCAGGTGGAGTTTCCCCGGGGGCCTATTCTGAGTAGTATCGTTAAGCTAACGAATACGATAAAAACCAGTTTCTATCGGAACCACGTGATTCGCGTTTAATCAACCGTACGTTAAGTTTTCGGTTCCGATAGCTAAGCTTTTATCGGTCACTCTCGACCTGCCGTTAGCAACGTAACGAAAGTGTAAACAATACGGCGTCTTTTGGTGTAAGAACGATTTTACTTCACGAGCAATTGGAGAGTTAATAAACTATATTGTTGTATAGTTTAAAAATAATTACCTTAACTATTTATGAATATTGTATGAATAATGTAATTGCTTTCTTGTTAAAATTTAAAGGAAGTAGCTATAGCGTGAACATTATTTCTGAAATAGGTTTCATTCGCGTATATATATAAATTAAAATAATAATCATATATTTATATTCTAAGCTCTCGGTTACTTTTCGTCCTCTTTTCCGAGTCTTTTCCATCGGAATTCGGACGGACGGCTATTTCTTGCCACAATTTCTGGCGATCTTTTACGGTAAAGAAAGCGTCTAACTTTCCCTGACATTTATTTAGGGCTGTCTTCCATAAAATTAACCAGCATCTCGAACTGGCCTTTCTTCAACGTTTTAAAACAAAACTATTTCACTAGCGCTGATACCGACAATGCTAAGACCAAGCGCTTCGCGGACTGCAGTTGCGTGACAAAAATACAATGTTAACCAAACTGTGATTGGTTGAAGCGTAACAGCTATCGATAGCGCGTCTCGACGGACTACCGGTAGCGAAACCCACTTAAAGCGGAGCGCGTGGTTGACGAACCTTAGACAAACCTTTCGCTAAGGGGACTTATCGAATGTCCTGTGTATCGCTCTCGTTGAGTTATCGGAAGAGCGCAGAATAGGTCCCCTGGTTTTCTCCACGTCTGTGACGCCTGAATACGGTCCAGTTCCCTTTAAAAGACCGCCCGGCGCGCGTGACCGGTTCATCGGACGCCTAGCGATCATAACGACGCTCTCTCGGAGTATAGAGCCTATATGTGCTGAACACTCCGTATCAACCGATCAACGACAGAAAGACCAGATAAAGTTGAAAACGCTTTTGATTTGGATACCACATTAGAAGTTTCTTCTTTGTGACAGTTAGGTCAGTTAATTGTGAAAGTCCAGTTTCGGTTCTTGGAGATAATTCTAAAATCCCAGTGTCGCGAAAGTTTTTGACTAGATAAACTATGCTTTTATATACCGAATCTTCTCTAACTTATTTCGTATTGTACAGTACGTTGTCCGTCAAAGACAAATAGAATTTTTCCCTGTTTACCTATAATGGTGACTTTCAACCAGTGTGCTGCGAAAATTTTTAAGGTTATTACGGTATTTTCGAAAGAAGTACAATGAAAAATAAGTGTAAATGTCAAAGTTAAAACAATTAATTTGATTACAGTAGAACCCCTCTAATCCGTCACCTTCGGGACTGGGGGTATGGTCGGAACGCAAAAACGGTCGGATTATCAGAAAAAAGTAAAATAAACAATCTTCCCTTTGTCCAGTCTTTGTAGCACTACTAATTTTTCATTTAATGAAAGAGTAACGTGTTTACGTTTCACTCCTGACATGTTGAAAACACACACAAAACTGTACATGTACACCCAATGTAAAACATATACTATAATGAACACAGAAGAACGCCACGGACGGTGAGTCACTGACGAGTCGGGACAAGTTTCTCGAGTCCGACCACGGTCGGATTAACCGGAGTGACGGACTAGCCGAGGGCGGACTAGAGGGGTTCTACTGTATATAAGTTTTTCCTTGTTATAATAATAAACATACACTTAATGTAGTAAAAAATATATATTGGTAAGAAAAATTTTATATAAATTTAAACTAAATAGACACAATTAATTTTAACTTATAAACCTGCCTAGTGCCAGCTATTTCTAAAGGCAATTATCGTGCAACTTTTAAATGCAAATTAAGACTTAATGTTAAGTGCTTTTCTTATGTAAATGGAAATTAATTTAAATAACTACTGTTGTAACCTACTGCAATTTAAGGAACAATACTGTTTTATTTAATTCACAAAAAATAGACAAAAAGAATTAGGTTAAGTGGAGAGTAATATGACAATAGAATGTTTGTTTACAAACAACTTCAAAATGTCCTATTTTTCCCTGTGGAAGTTTAATTATAGGTTCGAGCGTACAGTGATATAAAGGTTGAAAAACACTAAAGTATAGTAACTTATTTCGGGCTAATTTTTGGTTTACGTACTGCACGTTAGATAATTTCCGAGCTTCGGAAAAGTTACATGCTACGAGTTTAGCTGAAGGTTCTACGGGATGCTTTGCTTTTAGGTATTTTATTGGTATTATTGTGTCGTCGGTATTTTGTTTCAACTGCATATTTATAATACATTGAACATAATATATACTTACCACCTTCCAAGAAATTTCATGTATATAAGCAAATACTTAGAACTGTAATAAAAAATGTTCAATGTTTTTAACCAGATATGTATTGGGAAAAAAAGGACTAATGAGAGACTTAGTCCATAATACAGCCTTTATCAACTACAAATTTGAAATGTATAATCTACACTTATGTTCCTGTACGATTGCTTCTTTTCATCTTGATTAAATTGGCAATCGGTTAATTGGAGGCAGCGTGACTTTCGGCATTGCCTTAAAGCTTACGTGAGTATAAAAATTAAGAATAGTTCTCTTAAAAAATTGTAAACACAAACGCTTTTACATTAGTTTGTAAAAATTTTTCTTTGAGAAAATTATAAACCAGAAGCTAACTAAAATCAATAATAAAATTGAAGTACTGTACATTTATTATTATTCTGAATCTCTTTTTGTTATGTACTAATGTCTTTATAAGATGATTCATAACCAGCATGTTGAATTATAAAATATATTTTAAACTTAATAATTACATATAAAAAAAGCATCTAAAAAAAATCACAGTACAAATAAATATAAATAATAATTGCAATGCTGTCCTCAGATCCCAGTCTTCACAGTCGAATTCTGAAAGTACTATAAAAAATTGTTATACACAGTATTTTAAAGAAAAATATATTTATTAGCTAGTTTTTTAATGTTTTAATAGTAATATTCTAAATTACAATAAAGAAATGCTTTAAATTTGGATATAGTACAACAGGACACCAATGAATATAAAACAAAATTCTACATGGCAGCTAATTAATCTTGACTGTAGAAGTAAGTCATTTTTTAAAATAAATTTTTATTATAATACTCTCTCACTGGTTTTTTTATGTCCATTTATCAACAGTTTAGTGAAATTCTAATATAAATAACTTCATTTAATGTTTACACAAATATTGTTGAGAGAATTCTCAAGAAAGTTCATCTCTAAGACAGATCTTTAATTTTAAAAGTTTTCTAAAATTGAAGTTCATTTTGTCCCACTAACATATTTAGCTAGCAAAATAAAATTAATTAAAATAAATAAATATTGATGTAGAGTAACTGCAAACTTCTTTCGTCAATTGCTAAATATAACGTAAAATTCTTAAAACAGAAATGCAATTTTTACATTTGAGACTGACAAATTTTGAATCCAAAAGATTCCTAAATATGCAGGTGAAAATTTAAAATTGCTATTTATGACAAATTTTTATAAACAATGAATTCTGTAACTGTACACTTCAAATTTATTCACAAAATTAAAAATGTATTGCTTTATAGTTATATTAAGTCTTTTACATAAGAGTTAAAGACTCTAGTTACCAGATTAAAATATGCACAACTTTTATGTAAAAAAATACATGTACAGTAGAGCATCGATTATCCGACTCAATTGGGAACTGGAGTTGGTCGGATAACTGAAAAAACGGATAACCGAAAAATATGAAAAAATACATTATTAGTATAGTATATTAGTATATCTCATGTAATTAATATGTTAGTATATCGCTATTAACCTACTTTGCATTGAATTTTCATCGATGTTAAGCCTAACAAAAATTTTTTTAAAATAATAATCATCGCTATTGTATCGTTAAAAATTAGAAAATTAAGCCTCGTTTAAATACTGGCTCCCTTTTATGGTCGAGCCAGTGTTGCCAGCTAAAACACGTAAAAGTACTATTAAAGTAGCCAAGGCATAGCCAAATATTGTAGCGCCATATCACTAGCGGACATTTGAATTTGCCAACTAGAATGGTCGGTTAACCGATGTGACGGTTAATCGGGGGTCAGATAATCGATGCTCTACTGTAATTATTAACTTTTCGTTAAATGATAAGATTCATTAGTTGAAAAATGACAATCTATACTAATATTATAAAGAGGTAATGTTTGTAAGTATGTAAGTAAGTTTGTTTGCAGCAGGTAATCTCCGAAACTACTCATCCGATTTCAAAAATTCTTTCACCAATATTTAGAATGGAACTTCAGGGTAAACATAGGCTGTATATTATTCCATTAAACATTCATATAAATTAAAAGATATAATCTACATCTAATATAACAGATAGCGCTACGAGTACGACGCCCTAAGTTTGCTTTTCTGTGAAAATGAACTAAACCAGATCATCTTCTATCTATTTATATAAATAAAAATGTAATGTTCGTTTGTTCCTACCGATTCCTTTGAAATTTTGACACAACTCTGCATTCGAATACGCACGTGTTTTTATATAATATACATGTCGAAATTCAACCCCACTGAAGGGAGATGGTTAGGATTAAGGCTTACGGTAAAGAACTCTGCTTCCATTTATACTATTTTAGATGCGGGTTTTTGCGTTTTTGATTGCGTTTTAATAGGGTACGTCAAGAGAATGTACACTAAGAAGAAATGTTTCGAAAAATTTCCCCCCACGGGGGAAATGTTATAAATTTATAATAGATACATTTTGAGCCACAAGGCGTGGCGGGGTCTGCTAGTATGAAAAGAAACAAAATAATCTTAGTTTTTTCAGAATGAGTTTAAAAAATTATAGAATTAAATCTTATTCCAAGAACATGTAAAACTAACTGCCTAAAAATAGTTAGGAAGTTAATGCATATATAAATTTTATTAAATGTCTGGTCTATTCATCTCTCTGTTTGATGCTAAGAAGTAAATTTTTGATGCTATTTGCATTTGCTCATCAGATAAAATTTATGAAACAAATTTACATTTTGTATGATAATGAAGTTGCAACTATGTGTTATCAAATGATGTGACTAAACAGCTGCCATTCAACGACAAGGTTCTACAATCTTGTAAATGCAATTTTGGCATCATTGTCTTTATACAATTATTAATTCATTATACATACACGAAAAACACATTTTTGAATTTACTATGCAGTGAAAAAGTAGACAGACCCATCTAGCTCAGACTGAGCTATATGTCAGGTGAAAGAGATGGAAGGAGGCAAGTTAAAGTCGATGCATGGATCCGAGGTCTTCCAGCTGTTTTGTTCTTGTTTACACTTTAAAAATGTTTTTATATTGATACTATCTTCATCATAATTATTATACAGCATAGAGCAATAGAGGAATTCAGCCAGCACTCCTCTATGCCGTACAGGTCTGGGGCCACATGGCTGCCAAAGTCCATAACAGTAAAACACTGTTCAAAGGATTTCAGCTCTGCATTTGTAAGGCTTATAGGACTGCACCCACTAGTGCCCTTTTGGTAATGTCAGGATTGACCCCTATCGACTTAGAAATTAAGCACATTATTTGACAGAAAAATCTTGTCACCTTACCCTGGTGAGATTAATCATTTTGTCAACATCCGAGTTGCTATAGAGTAGGTAAGATTCCCCCCAGTTTGACTTTGATTGATGATATCAAAAAATTCAGCATCGACAAAAATATCCCTGACTTACGATTACTATCCCTCCCATCAGCTTGCTCCTGACATTTACTTAGAAGATCCAGATGATCATTCCATGTTTAGGATTCTAAGATGGGTGATGAAGTGGGTCTGCTTTAGTAGTTTACTCCGACTTAGGTTGCAAGCTTCACAATGATTACTTCCATCTAGGTACACACTGCTCAATAGCATAGGTAGAAACTTTAGCTAATTATATGAGCTTAATTCACATTAGGCATAGGAAGGACAAAAGACACTACTTACACTATTGCATTATTCTGACAGTAAGGTAGCTTTACACAGGATTGTGAAGTCTGATAGCTGCTTAAAACTTGTCCATCTCATATACCACATTGTAAGGAACCAAAGTCCGAGCGTTATTTTTAGTTACTTTTATTTTTGCTTCTATTTTTGTTTGGGGCTTATGTTTAGTTAGGACAAAGGTTTCCTCACCATTCACCTTAGGAACTTAAAAATAGAAGAGAAACCAACTCACCGACAAAAGAAAAGCGCCGTAGAAAAACTCGCGCACACTTGCGCTTCCCGAGCGGAAAAAAGTAAGTCTGCAATGAGAAAAGGGGGGGAGAGACCCCACAAACACGAATTAGGGACTCACTAAACCTTAAAGAATAAAAACGTCCCGAAAATTGTGAAAAGGAATAATGTAAAAGGTTAGCGAGTATTGTCGGAAAATAGGCTGCCAGACAAATAGAAAAAAATTTATTGTTAGCGAATAAGTATGTAAATGAGGGGAGTGATCTCATTCAGAATTGTGATGTCACCTCACAGTATAAAAACAGAACGTCAAGTGAAGATGCCTGAGGTGAACTCCTGATAGCAACGAGCTTTGGTGAGCTTCGTAGCAGTGAACGAGAGAGGTGTCCGATAG